CCCCGCCATCCTGTATGACCCTCTGAGCACTATCAGGAGTAATCACTGTGTGCAGAGCCAGGAGTAACCACTGAATATCGGGTGTGATCCAAAAATCAAGAAAGCAAGCAAGCAAGCAAGCAAGCAAGCAAGCAAGAAAGAAAGAAAGAAAGAAAGAAAGAAATGGAGGGAGGGAGGGAGGGAGGGAGGAAGAGAAAGAAAGAAAGAAAAGAAAGGAAAGGAAAGAAAGAAAAGAAAGAAGGAAGGAAGGAAGGAAAGAAAGAAAGAAAGAAAGAAAGAAAGAAAGAAAGAAAGAAAGAAAGAAAGAAGTACTAGTTTTCACCCCCAAAAGGTGAATATTGTTTAAATCGATTAACATGTTGTTGCGAGTATTTCTTTTGAGAACACCTTTGGGACTGCCACTGCTTTCCCCTAGCACAGCAGACTTTCACTTACTTCTCTTTTCTCTTATGCATCTCTCCTTTTCCAATCTTTAATGTTTGTGTTTGAAGGAGTACAGATATATGGAAGAGAAGGATATTTGTTCAAAACATACCTTGAAATTGGATTCTTGCTGAAAAATGCGTCTTGTTTCACAAATGATATTTGGATCCAATGGCAGGATGGATTTAAGTATTTTGTTTCAAAATTTTGATTGAAAATGAAAGACTCTAAGATAATACATTTTCTTGGCACAGCCAAACAGTTGGATTCTGGACAGACTGAATTCATGCTTTAACTTTAAAAATTAGTTTTTGCTTTTCTGTCCAAAACATGAAATAAGGTCAGTAAGTGGATTGTACATTTGCATACCTCAAAACTCCAAATGACTAGGCTTCAAAATATTTGTTATAAAAATTCAATAAGAGGATAATGAATAAAGAATGACTAAAGGGCTGTAGCTGTAGTACAGTGGGAGGGCATTTCCCTTGCATCCCAGGTTCAACTCCTGCCATCCTGTGTGGTCACCCGACCACCCCCAGGAGTGATCCTGAGTGCAGAAACAAGAGTAACTCCTGAGCCTGAGTATTGTCAGGTGTGACCTAAATACACACACACACACACACACACACACACACACACACACACACAAAGCACATAAAAGTTTTCCAAAAGTATTCAACACGTTAAAGTATTCAAATATAGTGTCTTAAGCATTTCTTGATATATCAACATACATTAAGATTTCAAAGTTCTTATAACTAATCCACTTCAGCTACACATTTTTCCCCAAGGACAGGTGCAAAACTAATTTTATCAAGAGACTACAAAAGAAAAATAATATCAATGGAAGCAAATACATCCATTCATGATAAAAATTCAGTAAACTAGGAAAGGGAGAACTTTGTCAGTATGATAAAGACTATCTACCAAAAACATAACAAGTAGTATAAAACTTAATATTAGTAAGAATTTCTCCTCTTACCACTTCTTTTTAACATAATTCTGTAAGCCCTTGCTAATCTAATTGGGAAAGAAAATGCATTTAGACATATACTATTGTAATTCCGTTGTGTGCCCTGTGTCATAATGTAGAAACTGAAACATAGACTGATTGAAGGAACTTGCTCAATACCTTACAACTCCTCATCTGTAAACCAAAATCTGAACCCCCTGCAGTCTTGCACAAGAGCATTAGTTCTAACCACCTGACTCTAACCAGAGTAGACAGCACCATTTTACAGATGCAGAAACAAAGGCAAATAGACATAAATTGCTAGTAATGTGAACTTGCAAGAGCAAAAATTAACACACTGTAAATATTCAAAAGTAGGAGATAGACTACAAAAATTATGATGATGAACTCATTTAAAGACCATAAGCATAAAAAACTTTGTGTCTCAATACTTATCATGTGAAATTATGTTTCATTTACTAATAAATTTTTATTTATTGGCACACATCAAATACACATCAGCACACATAGTTGCTATTTTTTTCTGTGATCATAACTTGTAATACTTAGTATCTTTGTAATCTTCAGATATACAGTAGATAGTTTTCTGCTGCTGTTGATGATGAAGTTTTTGTTTATTTGTTAGCAGTGCTAGCTACTGAACAAGGGAGTCACATAGCAAGGCAAGTGTTCCATGGCCCAGTGACTTCCCAGACTCTATGTAGTATATTGTTAACCATAATTCCCAGTGGCACATTGTGTCCCATGACTTACTTTATAACTAGAACTCTATATCTTTTAACTACTTGACCTCCTTTACCCAAAACTACCTTGGATACTATAAACATATGTTGACTATAAACAGCACATAAACCTGTTCTTTGTAACTATGTGTTCCTTTTCTTTATATTTAATGTCCTAGTGAAGTTGTACATCATTTGTCATTCTCTGCTTTATTTACTTACTTATTTACTTATTTATTTACTTTATTTACTTATTGCTCATCTATTACATGAATGTTGTCACAAATGACAAGACTTCCTTATTTTTATGGTTGAATTATATTCCATTGTAGATGAAGCTTTTCTTATCCATTCATCAGTAGATACCTATATTACTTACATGTATTGGTTATAAACATTGCTGCTATGAACACAAAAAAATCATTTTTTCAAGTTTAATTTTTGTTTCCTTCAGATAAATACCCTGAAATAAAATCGGTGGATCATATAGTAGTGCCATTTTAATTTCTTTTTCAAAAATACCTTGTAAGATATATTTGAAAGTGGGCATCTTCTATTTTTTTTTTAATTTGAAACGTTAACTCTTCATTTTGTAGAATTTACCAGTGAAGAAATTGATCCTGGGATTGTACTTGTTAGTAAGTTTTTGATCACTGATTTAGCTCATGATTCTTTATTTTTTGGTATCACTGTATCACTGTCATCCCGTTGTTTGTCGATATACTTGCGCGGGCACCAGTAATATCTCTATTTGTCCCATCCCTGAGATTTTAGCAGCCTCTCCTTACTCGTCTTTCCCAACTATTGGAGGCTCTTTCAGAGACAGGGGAATGAGACCTGTTATAGTCACTGTTTTTGGCATATCGAATACGCCACGGGGAGCCTTCCATGCAGGTGGGATACTCTCAGTAGATTGCTGGGCTCTCCGAGAGGCAAATATATATATATATATATATATATATATATATATAATATATATGTTATATGTATATAACATATATATATATTTCTCTATGATTTGTTGCCTACTGTCTAAACCCCATCAAACATGGTGTGGTAATTATGGAAAATGGGTAGGAAGTGTCCTATGATATGTCATGCAGTCGTTTTGAGGCGCACAGTCCAGAAAGCGTCCTGGAGCAGCAGCGGTTGGGTAGTGGAGGTCAGCTGCCAGAGCTGGGTCCCTTGGGGGCAGGGAGGACTCTCACCTGCCCCGCTCTGGGGCACCCCAAATGAAAACAGCCTAATGTGGAGTCCGGTGGCATGGCTATGGGAGCCTCGTTTTATGCTCCCTTCCAGGAGAAGCAGCCGTGAGTTCTGGATGGTGGCCAATGAGGAGAGTATCTGGTGCTGACAGGGAGTGGGTTATGGTTGTGACCCCTGCGTTGGCTCAGACCGGGGGAAGCAGGCAGAGGATCTCTGCTCCTTGGTTCCTTTGAGCCCAGAGTCCAGGGTTCCACATTACCTGGGTTCTGTGGGATTTCATTCATGCATGAAACTCGGCCCAAGCATCCGGAAAGCGGCCTGGAGTGTGGCGGCTGTTGGGTAGTGGAGGTCGGCTGTCGGGGCTGGGCCCCTTGGGGTGGGGAGGGCCCTGAGTGAAATTATTTTTGGTAGATTGCATATTTCTAGGAATTTTCTAAGAGCACTTCCTCTCAGTTGCCCAGTGGTTAGTATAGCTTTAAAAGAAAATCTATTGTGATAATCTAATTTAATCAGTGTGTTTAAAACATTGACATTCAAACTACTTATTGAAAGGTTAATATTTACCATTTTTGTTTCTTCTTTTTGTTTTTCACTCCTGTAATTTTTCAATTTTAGGCTTCCTTTGCTTTTCGTAGCTTTTTCTATTTAAAAATATTTACAACAATGTTTTTGGATTTTTTTTTTGATTAAAATCCAACATACTACTGGCTCTGTCTGTATTCAGTGATCACTCCTGGAGGAGCTTGGGGGACTATAAGTGATGCCAGGGATTGAATCTGGGTTGACTGCATGCAAGGCAAGAACCTTTCCCAATGGTACCTGTCTTTTGTAGTTTTAATTGAGCATTTAAGCTGATCCCATTTTATTTATTCGTGAGCACATCAGATACACATTTTAAAGAAAAGTTTTGCTCTAGACTGCAATGTTTTATTTATCATGAATCCTGTCTACTTTCAACCAACAATAATGCTTTACTTGTAGTATATAATAACCAAACAGTCCCAGTTACTTGTTCTTGTTCCTTTAATCAATGTTACAAGTAATTTATCTTTTATAAGAAAAAATAAGGATATGTTATATACCAACAATCAAATAAATAATTATTATAATTTTAGTCATAGCATAAAGGTAGGGCGTTTGCCTTGCATGCGGCCAGCCCAGCCGACCCGGGTTCGATTCCTCCGCCCCTCTTGGAGAGCCCAGCAAGCTATCTAGAGTATGTCACCGGCATGGCAAAGCCTGGCAAGCTACCCATGACGTATTCAACATGTCAAACACAGTAACAACAAGTCTCAAAATGGAGACATTACTGGGCCCCCTCAAGAAAATCGATGGACAAAGGGAGGACAGTGGTTACGGTGTTAAATCTTTTATATCACTAGAGAATGAGAAGACATGTTTTTATTTTACTTCTTACTATTCCTTTTTGAAACACTTACTTCATTTTACATTTATGATATAGAGTACACACTAATAAAAAATGTTCAGTAATCCTAGAAAAGTAAGGGCAGCAATAAAGTAAATCATCGTGTTAACAGCGATGTTGCGATTCTCCAGACTGTGGAGCGAAAATAGCAGGAGACCCGGCAGCTTAGTCTCTGCCTGCACCGGCGCCACACGCGCCCGTGCGGGCTGAACTACATTTCCCAGCAAGCTCCGGGCCCAGCCTCGCCGCACTCGCTTCCGGATGCGTCACGTGACCGCCGGCTGCAGCATGGCGGCCGCGGAGGAGCAGGTAGCCGGCCGGGGGCGGGTGCAGGGCGGGGGGCGCGCGCGGGGCGCGGCGGTGCGGGCCGAGCCGGTGCCGAGGCCAAGCGGTGCCGAGGCCGGGGCGCCGTTCCGGACGCGCTCAGTCCGTGCGGCCGCGAGCGACTGTCGGGCGGCGCGGGGCGAGCCGGCGGTGCTTCCTGCTGCCGGGTGTGCGCGGCCCAGCCCGACCCGGTTCGAGCCGAACCCCCTTCAGGCGCGGGCCCGGCTGTGGCCCGGTCCTGCGCCAGCTAGGGAAGTTTTTAATGTCAAGGTGGAGGGGATGACTGACGCCTCACAGAGTGACTTAGGGTGGAATGAGGGGGTACGCAAAGCCAGTGTGCTTGGGAAAGGCGGGCTCTGACGGGTGAGGCGGGGTCAGGTGTCGCTGCCGGGACGTGCCGCAGGGGCGTCGGCAGCAGACTGGCCGAGCTGTTCCCCCGGCAGTAGCAGTCGCCAGACAGCGTTACCAAGGTAGCATCAAGAAGACTCGAGTCGAGGGCTGTCTAGAGGGCACACCTTGGAAACAGACCTTACTTGTACATTTCCAGTGTCGGCTGAAGTTAACCTGGTTATTTTACTTGCCATTTATACGGTCATCAGTTTCCAAAGAGATCTCCATCACGTGCTTTGGTGAAGAGCTGTTGGGTATTACCTATGAGAAGTTTACTTAGTGTAGTCATTTCATTTGTCCCACCTGCAGCGTAGTCTTAACATCATGAAAAATATCTGTGTGGAGCTGTACATATGACAGTAAATTCATAAATTTGCCTGGCTAGATGTTTGATTTCTGTGGCCATTACGAAGAAGACAGGAGAGTTTCCTGCCAGTTGTTCGAACTTCTGTTTCTCTGGGAATGTCAAAATAGTTGTCAAGTAAGCACATGGAATTTCACTACTCCTTGCTGCGTTTGATGATAGATACAGTGTGTGTGTGTGTGTGTGTGTGTGTGTGTGTGTCTGTCTGTCTGTCCTGGGGGTTGGTTGAAAGAAGTAAATGAGATTCCTTACATTCTTAAATACAATGTGATTGTAATAGAGTTGTTTTATGGAAGAGACAAAACAATTTCATACGAAAAAGACACAGAAAGTTAGTGGTTTGTTAGGAATGCTTCTTGTTTTTGTAGAACTTTCCAGTTCAAAGAGTCCCATTGCACTCCATCTGAGCCTCACGGAATTCTGTATGCTGAATGTTTATTTGGATATATACGTTAGATCAAACACCTCATACATTTCAAGTCTTTCCGTGGCTTCCTTGCACTCACGAAAAACTGGAGTCCTTTTTGCCTGGTCCTTATTTGCTTCTCACCCTCTGTATTCTGGGCCTTATTTTCTACCACTCCTTTCCTCTCCTTTTATCACTTTACACCAGTTACACTGGCTTTCGTATTGTCCCTTCAGGAAAAGACAAGAAGTCAGGCCAGAAATGAGGCATGTTTGTGCTTTTGACCCTACATACAGAGCTTTTACCTTCGATGACTTCATTTGTTTGTCCAAGTGCTGTCTCTTGGAGTCTAACCTGCCCAGCCATTTGAAACCACCTTCTTATTTTCTCCTTGGCATTCATCACCACCTGCCCCGCCCCCCTTTATGTTTCTGTTTATCTTGGTATGTGTTTACATTAGGACATAAGGCTCTTGATTGCAAGGGTCTGTTCACTACTGCCTGCCATATAAAATAGCATTTTTCACAGGTTGTGTGTTAAGTGTATTAAGTCAATTCATGCTTGGTAGTTTAACAACCAGTATGAGCTCCAAGTGGGCATTTGGAACCACTTTTTCTCCCTATTGGCATTAGCGTTGGTCTCAGAAAGAACTATTCGATAGTGGCAGAAAGCAGCAAACATTCACAAAGTCTTGTGCTGTTTATTTTTAAAAGAAAGCTAGTAAATAATAGTACCCATTTTATCAGTTTGTAATAGATTAAAATGGCTAGAATTTTTCACTGCTCAATTTATGTTTTACATTAGGAAGCCATAATGAGGCCAGAATGACAGACCTTTATTATAGTATTTTGTTTTGTTTTTGAGCCACAGCCGATTGTGTTTACTCCTGACTCTGCTCAGGGACAATCCTGATAGAGCTCAGGGGTGCAGCTTTGCCTCATGCAAGGCAAACTCTGTACCCACTGTACTATTTCCCCAACCCTCTTACTGTTTTTTTTTTTTTTTGGAATACTATGCAGCTCTAAGAAAAAGTGAGCAAAGTTCACAGCAACTTGGATGGAATTGGAGAATATCATGTTGAGCAAAATGTCAGGGGACAAGGACAGATGCAGGCTGGTCTCACTCACCTGTGACTCACAGAGAAACAAAACAGAGGAGGAGTTTGTGGAGGAAGAGGCGGATGGACTGGAAGTGAGGTACTACAGTGCAGGGGTTCTGGGCACTTTGGGAAGGAGGTGCAGTAACTGTTCAGCAAAGGCCATAAATGTGAACACAATTGTAACCATTTTATCTGAATTAAAAGACTAAAAGTGAACAAAAGCAGTGCTATATAAATTGTCTAATTATACTTTTTTTTTTTGTTACTTTGACCTTTTTTGCAAACCTTGATATAAAGTTCCCCTCTGTTTCAGAGACAAAATGTGTATTAAGTGAATTTTTGTAGCCCGTTACATGTTGGGGCAAAGGAAGCTTTCTTCCTTGCCACTGTGAACTGTAAGTGTAAACAGCCTTCCACCATAAGTCAAACAACACTAAATCTCTCAACATTTCTTATCTTTTGTGGTTGCTTTCTTCTCCCTTAATTTTAGAAGAACCAGAGTAGATATTTCTTATACTGAGTAAAATAAAGCAGGTCCTGGATCCACAAACTAAGTCTTTTTTTTGAATATGAATAAGTTGTGTGTGTGAGTGTGTGTGTGTGTGTGTGTGTGTGTGTGTGTGTGTGTAAGTCATTGGAAATCCTCATACGGTGTGTGCTAGAGGTGGTTTGCAAAACTTAAAAAAATAGCCAAAAACCCCAAACACAAACACCTGAACCCCCTGTATTTTGCCCGGAATTACTTTACTCGAAACTTTCCACAGCTCCAGAGTGATTCATAGTTGACCTTCATAATTGCAGATTTGTCGCAGTATTTGTATGCTAGAAGTCTGGTGGCGCTGCCTTTGTCCTCTCTGGCTGCAGGTTGCTGAGTCCTCAAGAATAAGGAGCAGGACACTCATGCCTGGCTCTCATAGGGCTCATGTTTCACAGGTGCCCTAGGGGGCAAACAGTGTCATGAATTCAAACGGTCAGTAGTAAAAAGATTCAGTAAAATTTTCCCTTTCTTTTTCTTAATTTAAAACTTTGAACGTTTCTAGATTCTGATGTGTGGAGGGTGTTTCCAACACTCCCCACTCTGCGAGTTCTTTGCTTACCCTTTCCTGTCATCCTTCAGGGTACCTAGTCTATAACAGACCGTCAATCTCTTGCTTAAATTGGAGAGTTTTTCCCTGTGAATTATCCTTCAGTGTTTTAAAGGTAAAAGTGACCTTTTATCCACATTGTAGAGTGTTCAGGGCTGATCAGACACTCAGGTGTATCCCCTGGTGTTTGTGCCTGGGTGTGTGAAATAGAGTCCAGTCAGTATATGCACGAGTGCCTCAGTTTTCTTGCCTGTAGATTGGGGGTTTTGCTCCTCAGAACTTGTGTCAAGTATGCAGTGAGAGAAAGCATGGCTAGGTGGCTGGGTTGAAATGGTTATTTTACAAATAGCCGGTGGCTGGTCACCCACACATGGATTTTGTCTGCATGCACGTGAATTTCTTTCCTTCCAGTTTGGTCAAAATGGGTCTTTCTTTCTTTCTTTCTTTCTTTCTTTCTTTCTTTCTTTCTTTCTTTCCTCTTTCTCCTTTCCGTTCCCTTCCCTCCCCTCCCCTCCCGGCAGTGCTCAGGGCTTATTCCTAACTCCGCACTCAGGGATCACTCCCCCGGTGGGTCTTGGGGGACCATATGGGGTGCCAGGAATTGAGCTTGTGTAGGCCGTGTGCAAGGCAAGCATTTTTCCTGCTGTATTATTGCTCTGCCCCTCAAAACAGATCTTTTAATAGCAATTTGATGAGTAACTCAGGATAAACTTCCTGAAAGCAGAGGTACAGGCCTGGTATAAACCCCATTTTGGAGGGCCCTTTCTTTCCTGTCATATCATGTGATCAGGTTTGCCTAGCTGGCCGTGCTAGTGCCTTCACAGTGCTTTGTCTTGTGTTGGTGTGGATTGGCAGATGGTGGTCACTGGCTATCAGAGCAGGGTGTTCGGCTGGCTCCCACAGTCCCACCCACAAATGAGAGATCAGCTCTGATTCGTGCAGCCAGGCACTTGTGACTGTCCTGCCGCACACGTTCATCTTTGCTTAGATCTGTTCTGTGACTTGTTAATGAAACTTGGGCCACTGCAGGTGCTGACGTAGACCTCCTGAGGAAGACCTCGAGGGTGGACTGTGTTAGACACTGGCTGGCTCCCCAGACTTGATTTAGGTATACTGATGTCAGTGTTGGGCCTGGCAGAAGGTCGGGTGCTTTTTGCCTTGCAGAGTCAGATGAGCAGAGCTGAGACTACCAATGGGACTGTTGGTGATGGGTCTTCCTGCCCCCCCTGCTGATACTTAGCTTTTCCTGCAGCTTTCCTGCACTCCCAGCCTAGTGCTCAGGGAGATGAGGCAGTCAGACCCATGGAAAGCGAACACAGATGCCATACCAGATGACCTTTCTGTGCTCGAGACACATCCCCATTCATGAAGCGTGCTCGGGACAGAATCTCACTGAGTGACTTCACGTCTCAGTGCAGCTCTGTGTCCTGGGCCTGGCCTCTGCAATGTGTCTTCATTCAGCGGACTTCAGAGCCGGCCTTCCAGGGACCCCAAACTCCCGCTCTCCCCTCTGCAATGATCTGCACCCCTGCCCCCAGTACATCCAACAAACAGGTGTCCCCCTGAACACCTAGAGGAGGCCCTGTTCTCCGTCTGTCCTTCTGTGATACCGTTCAGTTTTCTTCACCCCTCCTGCCCTGTGAGCCCAGCTGCACTGAGTCTTCCTTCTCCCGGGCCATAGTCTCGGGGCTCTCAGCTGATGGTGAGTTTGGGGGATCCCAGTCTGTGCATCTTCTGGGAGGAAGCATCCATGGAATGAGTTTTGAGTGGCTGTGGCCCGGACAGCAGGGTGGAGTGCTGCTCCTTGCACCTGCTGCTGCTTTCTCTCAGCACGATGATCAGAGGGGTATGGAAGAGGCGTGACGGGCTGCTGGCAGAAGAGTCAGGCATTTGATACAAGTCGCACACCGGGGCAGAGGAGAGAGGGGCCACAGGCCTGGGTGTTGTGTGGATGTCGTGGCTGGACTCCCTCGGTGAGAACAAGCCCATCACAGGACGCTGTGACTTTCCAGCCTGGCAGCCTCTCTGCGGAGCAGCGGGGCCAGTGTTTAGTGTCGGCTCAGCAATGTGGCCAGTGTTTTTAAAACATGGAATCCAGGGACCAGAGAGATCGTATAGAGGGCTGGGTGCTTGCCTTGCACATAGCACCACATATGGTCAGGAGTCTGCCAGGAGTGATCCTGAGCACTGCTGGGTGTGACCCAAAGACCAAAAAGTCAAATAAATAACCTCTCTGCTGGACTGTGATTCCTTTGGCGGGAGCTGCAAGGGTTTCTTGAGACATGTAGAGTATCCTGGGACGTTGGCCCCTAGGGTGACTGTGGAGCTTGGCCAATGGTCTGCAGGTTGCTGGCTCCGCAGGAGGGAATGCCCAGTGTGGGCATCGTGAGTCCAGGTACCCGGGAGGCCCCGCAGTGAGTGGGTTTCTGGGTGTGTTGGGGGATCGCGTCCACTCTGGGAGTGCAGATGCCCGCGTGCTCCAGCGCTGTCACACTCTCCGGAAATGAGAGTCTGCTGCGGGTATGGCATCACCTGCTGAGGAGCCACAACTGTCCTCGGGGTGGGGACTCGGCTACCTGTTCCCGCCTGCACCCTTGGCAGATCTCGCCCTCTCCCAGGTGCCCCGCGAGGACCCTGGGGAGCAGAGAAGTGCAGGGGGAAGGCCTGCCGGCAGGTGGGAGAGCCGAAAATCTGGGTCCCCAGGGTTCTCTTGGGGGGCAGCGAGGGTGTGCCATATTTGGGGGGATTCTGACCTCTATGGACAGCCACAGCCTCACAGGCTGCTGGGGGTGATGGGAGTGAACTCTGGCTCTCAGAGAAAGACCAGGTGTGAGCGCTACTCCGGCCTAGGGCTTGCGCTTTCCGGATTTCTCTGCCTGTGGCTTGCAGTCTGTCGTTTGGCGTCCTTCACAGCAGCACTATCTTGTTTTTGTTTTTACTTTTTTTCTTTAAGGATTTTTAAAATTGAATAGCTACTGTGATTTCCAGGACTGTCAATGATGTTACTTTATGCTCATAATTCCACCTTCACCTCCCTCCCCCAGTAACCCCCAGCCCTCTGGCTAGCTCCGCTGTGGGGATCAGCTCTGTTGTGTTGCCTCTGTCCCTTCATTGCTACTTTGTGGTGTGTCTTTAAGTTCCACACATGAGAGGGGTCATTCTGTCTCTGTCCCTTTCCCTCTGATTGACTCACACGGCATGAGACCCTCTGGCTCCATCCGTTTTGCTGCAAGTGGCCTGATGTTCTTTCTCAGGGCTGTGAAGCATTCTTGGAATAGAATGGCACCATATTGAAGTTGGAGAACGTACATTGGTGTTTTCTCAAACTTCTTCCCACTCTTCCCGCTTTGGACCTTTTTTTCTTCCTGTGCCCCACCTCCTCCTCCAGGTTGGCCCCCTAGTCTTGTGCTATGGCCCCCGTTGGTGCAGTTTTAAGCTGTGGCCTCTTGGATTGTCTTGGGTCTCCCAGAGGTCCGTGTGGCACAGGTTGAGAACCACTGATAAATGCACATTCGTTCTTTGTTGATTGTCAGATTTGGTGTTTTATTTGCCTGGCTATGCAGCCATCGTCCGTTGTTTAGACAAAAAATCCCTTTCCATCCTCCTCCACACCTGGGCTGGTTCCTGCAGCCACCCCATCCCTGCTGCTGGGATAGGAGTGTTGCTGATTAATAATCCCAGGGATGTGAGAAGTCATTTGCTTTGACTCTGGCCGTGGAGTCATTAGGAAATTTCAAGGTGTTTGTGTTGTTTTTCAGTGCGAGCAGTGTACAGTAGATGTTCAACCAACAAATCAGGATAGTGACTGTCAGTTATTTAAATAACTATTTTATTAAGGCACTGTGATTTTAAAAAAATTATAGTTGTGTTTTAGGCATACCATGTTTCTGCATGGGTCCCAACCCTAATGCCAGCTTCCCTCCACAGAGTCACAGTGTCACAGCTTCTCTCCCGCCCCCAGCCTGTCACCATGACAAGCACAACTTTTAAGTTTGGTTCTTGGGTTTGGGCTCTCATGCTGCCAATTTTAAGTTGAACATGTCTGAAGAGAAGGGCCAGGGTAGTAAGTGGACTAGAACCAGAAACTTGAAGTTTAGCACAGGGGAGAAGCCATTTAGAAGGGTGGTTCAACATTTATTCTTAGCCCTCCGGAGAACTGGAGGTTTTGTGCCTCTTTGGTGTAAAGAAAGTTTCTGTGGGAGAGTTTATAGCTGCAAAATAATGAGAACTTTCTAAGACTTTGCTTAATATGAAACTCAAGTGTTTTTGAGATAATAGAGATTTTCGTAGTCATTCTGGCAAATAATAAACTACAATAAAATTCTTAGGTATATATAAGATTTATCCCCAATTTTCAGATGTCTTTTGAGAGCCAAGAGGAAAGTGTCGTAAGGGCTGTTCTGGAGGCAGCCTCTTGCACCTGCCAGGTGCCTACTGATTTTTGATGAATGAGGTTAAACTTTTCAGATATCTGATTTGTATTTTTCATGTGACACAGTCTTGAGTAAACCTTGCTTCTTTTAACATGCTCATCTTTTTTTTTTCCCTTCCCTCCTTGGAAAATATTAGTTGTGTCTAAAATGTCCTTGCCCCATGAGATTTTGTTTTGTTTCGTTCTTTCTTTATCTCGGCGATTGTTGTAAAATGCTTACATTCGGTGTCAGCATATTAGTTGTAACCTTTTATTGCTATTGATATCGCTAAGTGCGTTAAGTAAATCTTCATTTTGCTGACCTCTTTGAGGACGCATGACATCAGCAGATTCTCTCTTCCAGTGGACAGGTGAGAGATTAGCAGGAGCAAGTCAATTTTTTCCTTTTTTTTCTTTGTTTTCTCCAGAGCAGCAAGATTCATTGTCTGGCAAGAGAGAAACTGTTAAATGCTAGAATTTGTCTTCCAGTTAATGGTTTAAAGAGTGACCGTGAATTATACAGCTTGTTTGCACAGGGCTGCCTCAGCCACTCCAGAGGAGTGCATTTGTTAGGCGCCTTAAACCGGATGGTCATTTTGACTCTGCCCGATTAATACCATAATAATTAATAGCACAGGAGCTTTCTGTCTAGAAACTGGCTTGTAGAGAATGTGAGAGAGCTGTTCCCTCTTTCCTCTGGTGGTTTTCCCTGCTGTCCACTATGGGTGAGGAGAGCCAGCCATGTTCTCACTAAATGAAGGTGGTTTGGTGGCCTGCTGACCGCTGGGGGAGGTCAGCCAGAGCTGGACCCAAATGGCCTTGGAGAGCTGGCCTCAGCCCTGAACAATATGGGGAGAATGTCGAAGCCTGTGGAGCTGGAGTTTGGGGAGTCTGCAGCAATTGCTGGGCCTCCCAGACCTGTCTCCTGCAAAACAGATATATCCATCCATATGCATCGATCTGTCTATATACATATAGAGCACTGTAGCACTGTAGCACTGTCCTCCCATTGTTCATCGATTTGCTCGAGCGGGCATCAGTAACGTCTCCATTGTGAGACTTGTTTTTACTGTTTTTGGCATATCGGATATGCCACGGGAAGCTTGCTGGGGTCTGCTTTGTGGGTGTGATACTATCGGTAGCTTACTGGGCTCTCTGAGGGGAATGGAGGAATTGAACCAGGGTCAGCAGCGTGCAAGGCAAACGCACTACCCACTGTGTTGCTCTATCCCTTACACATATAGATCTATATACATATACACATGTACTCATATACATACATATCTGTGTACATATATACGTGTAGATAAATAGATATCTGTATTATGCATACATGTTATTTATATATTCATAGATACATAATTTAATTCTTTTGTCATCTGGTCTAACCATTTTTCCTTTATGCTTTGTAGGACACTGGGTCATTTGAAGACTCTACAGATGACTCTGAGGTAAGGTGGCAGTGGTCCGGATCCTGGGAGGGTCCAGCTAACCATTTTCTTACTACCTTGAGCTTGTCCGCCAAGGACAATATTGCCGGGCTTGGAGGGGATCAATAGGTAAAGAGATGGGTGTTGAGCCCTGGGGAAGGGCTCACTTGTCTCTTAAAATAGCCAAAATTCAGGAAAGGAACACAGGAGAAAGGAACAGAACTTTTCTTCTTTTCTTGAGCACTATTTTTCACTTGAAGCACGCTGGCAGTTGGTGTGGACGCCAACTCTTGTAGTCTTGCGTCTTTAGAACACAAATCTCTTCCCAACCAGAAACCTCTCTTTCTCTCTCTCTCTCTCTCTCTCTCTCTCTCTCTCTTTGTTTCTCTCTCTCTCTTTCATTCTTTCTCTTGTTTTTCTTTTCATTGTTTTTGGACTATTTCTGGCAGTGCTCAGGGCTTGCTCTTGGCTCTGCACTCTGTACTCCGGGTTTGCTCCTGTTGGACACGAGGCACCCAGTGTGGTGCCAGGGATCAAATTGGGTCAGCTGTGTTGCAGGCAAGCACTTTACACGCTGTACTATTGCTCTGGCCCTAGAAGCCTGTTTCTTAAACACTTACAGAGTCTGTAGAATTTATTCATTCTTATTGTTTATTGACTGTCAGTTCTCATTGGTATAATTTCTGAAATGCTGAAATTATAATTTGACTGAAAAGAAAGTACACCTTAACACCTCTTAGGAAACTAAGTTGTGCTAAAGATTGTATTTTAAGATGAAAAAAGTAATACAGAAGGAAGAGCTTTTTAAGAAATTTGTTTTCAATATTGAATAAGAAGTAAGTTCAGGAGTCACTGCCGAGGAATGGGCCCTCTGGCTACTCAACAAGCTGCTTAAGCCATGATCCCAGAGACTCAGAAACAAATCTTGGAACCCAGCGGCTTTTGGCAGAAATCCCTCCAGATTTAATTATTAAGATTTCAGAATTCCAAAATTGTGCGGCCACTATTGCGGCCATGCGACATTAAATGCTATTCATTATCAGCAGTAGAAAACAAATCGTCTGATGTTGCCTTTTCGGCAGATGTGAGTGTTGGGGTAAAATCCCAAATAATAATGGTGTGTCTGGTGTCGAAATATTGAATGTAATCAAAGTAGAGATAGAGTAATGTGGAAACCATCTGCCAAACAGGCCGGGGAAGGGGTAGGATGGGGGGAATACTGGGGTTTTTGGTGGTGGAAAATGTGCACTGGTGAAGGGATGGGTATTTCATCATTGTATGATTGAGACTTAAACCCAGAAAGTTTGTAACTGCTCTCATGGTGATTCAATAAATAATTTTTTGAAAAATAAAAAGAAATTAAGTTCAGTTATAACAGATTAATTAACTTATCAATTTTATAAATAGATTACTTGGAGCAATAGCATAGCGGTAGGGCGTTTGCCTTGCACGCAGCCAATGTGGCCGACCCGAGTTCGATTCCTCCGCCCCTCTCGGAGAGCCCGGCAAGCTACCGAGAGTATCTCGCCCGCACGGCAGAGCCTGGCAAGCTACTCGTGATGTATTCGATATGCCAAACACAGTAACAAGTGTCACAATGGAGACGTCACTGGGCCCGCTCGAGCAAATCGATGAACAACAGGAGGACCGTGACCGTGACTAGTAATAGTCACAGTTTTTTCAATGTTTTATTTAGCCTAAGAATATGAATGTGATTATGCTAACCTGCTAGAAGTCCTCAGCTATAGCTCTTATACCTTATAGTATTGGGTTGATGTTGCATATCGTGATTTTAGGAATTTTAGGTTTTATTGAGGAAAATATGGGCTTATATTGTTCTTCAAGAGAGCATCTTACATACCATGTCTTCCTGCGTTTGTAGTTTGCCTGTAGTGTTGAATTCCCAACAAATTTCAGCACAGAGGACATCTGGTAGTCCTGGTAGTCCATGGTACTACTGTACAATGTTACCGAGCTTGCTCAGAGGTAGAGTACTTTGTTAGTTTTAAATCCGAGGCATATCAGATTTCCATTCTTTCTTATTGTGGTTTGGTTTTGGGCCACACCTCGCTATGCTCAGGGCTTACTCGTGGCTCTGTGCTCAAGGATCACTCCTGGCAGAGCTTGGAGGACACTGTGGGATGTCAGGACTTGAACCCAGGTTGGCTGTGTTCAAGACAAGTACCCTTCTTGTGGTACTATGCTCCAGCCCCTTCCATTCCTACTTAAGGAAATTGTGGTTAATTGAAAACCCTGTATTCTCAGGGTCATTGCTGTGGAACCCTAGAGTTTTTATAGCTTTGTTTAGAGCTTTTGTTTAAGAGTCGAGGAGGATATTAGTAGCGACTTCAGTCCCAAGCTTTTCATACATTCTGCAAATGCAGAAGCGTTCATCTGTCTCTCTGCTCCAGGGCCAGCGGAGCGTAGCTGTTAGCTTCAGGGATTCCCTGCTCTGAATGCTGCTGGAGGCCTGTCTATGGGTGCTTACATCTCTGGTGACTTCTGTTTAGGGTGGTACTTGGGGCGCCTATCTCAGCTGTATTTCACACTTGCTTTGTGATCCTGGGAATAATACTCAACACCTCTGTTGTTTGCTTATTTGAAAGCTGGGGGTATTTTGTATGGTAATTATGAGGATTAGGTAGGATTATGTTTGTGAAACCCATTGTATATTGCCTAGCCTAAAGAAAGGACTCTGCAAGGACTAGTGATGGTCCACTGTATTTTAGAATGTAGGACTGGTGGCTCTTTGTACATCCTAGTGTTCCAGCCCGAAAGCCTGAAGAGACTCCTTGAAGCCCTGACAGAGTTGCTGTCCTTTCAGATTTTCCTGTTTCTGCTGATGGTATGAATTGGCAGAGTAGTCAGGTTACGGATAGACCGAGTATAGGTATTGGGCGCTGATTTGCAGTTCAGTCTTTTGAAAATTTTTTCCTTGGATTTCACACTCAATTTGAATCCCTTTCAGTGTCTAGGATTGATTTTTATTTGACTTTTTTTTCTCCCCCTTCGGGAACTTAGAAATGTGGTTCCACTTCTGTCTAGCTGCTGTCACTCTCAATGAGAAATCTGCTGTCGTGTGAATTGGTGATTACCCTTAAGTTATAGGTCATATTTTCCCAGCTGTCTTCAAGATACTTTTTTAAACTTAGTTTCGGAAGTTTAATTATGATGTCTCTTATCATGATTGTTTTAATTTATCTTATTTGGAGTTTGTGTGGCTTTTAAACTGATTTCATTCACTGAACTTGGAAAGTTTCAGCTATTATCTTGGAGTATTTTTTCAGTTCTACCCTTTCTTCTCATACTGAACTTTGTTAGCATGAATATTAGGCTTTTTGACTATCTTCACAGACTCTGTTAATTTTCTTCAATCTATTTCCTCTGTGTTGTCAGATGGGATCATTTTTTTTTGTTGATCTGCCCTCAATTCATTGGTTCTGGCCCTCTCCACTTTTTTGTGTGTGTATGTTGTGTTTATGTGTGTGGGTATGTGTGAATAATTTTGCTTGGTTATTCTGTTTCCCAGTTCTAAATTTTTTATTTTTTAATAACATATCTTTGCTTAGGTGTCATATTCTTTCATTTGTTTTAAGATAATTTATAGTTGCTTGTTGCAGCAATTTGATGGTTGCTTTAGGATTGTTTCTAGATAATGAAAACGTCTCATTAATTTTAATGCAGGACAGTATTGAAACCATGAGGATCATAAATTTCTTCGATTTTTTTTGGTGTATCTCCAGTGTGCTGTGTTGTGCTGAGTTTTCTTATGTTTTTTTTTTTTATGAGCTATATCCTATTAGCTTCATCTATTATGTGTTAGGTAAGATGGGATAAGTATGTTGTGTAGCAAAGAGTTCTGGACTTGTACTGACTGAACCCAGCACAGATTCATTTCTGAGTAGATTTATACTTCTCTGAGGGATGCAAGGAAATTGAGGCACCAGCAGGAACAGAAAAACCCAAACCTGTCATTAGGGTCTTTTCTGTACATGGATATGTGAAACAGCTCTTCTTCGTGGAGATTGATAGTTTAAAAAAATGCCACTTTGAAAGAGTCTCAGAATATTTATTTAGAAGTATATACTGTCTTAGAAGAGTTCATTGTGGAGTTTGCTGCAAAAGAACTTGGCAGTAAAATCATCAGGTTTTTGGTGTAGCATTTCAAGAGTCTATGCACAGCAAAAATCTAGAGAAAACTCTGAGGCTGAAAGGGAGTGGCAGGGACAGAGGAGCAGGCCTAGTGGGGATCCCTACGCACTGAGGTCTGCTTTGCAGGCTGCCCGTGACCTTCATCACTATGATGCAACTATAGAGCTAAAGTAAAGCTTTTCTCTGCTTGTACTGTATTCCACTGTAGCGAAGACCCAATGTAAAGTATTTTCCCCTTGCTAGGGCCATGGCAAATAAAACCAGGGAAGTTAACTAATATAACCACTCTGTAACTTTTGTTATTAATATTATTAGTAAACAAGCCTCTCGGGGTGGGGGGTGGGGCAGTGGAACACACCCAGCTGTGCTGGAGGCTACACCTGGCTTTGTGCTTGGGGTACCGTGTGGTACCTGGGATGAAACTGGGGTTAGTCAGTTGCCTGAAAGGCAGGCATTTGTCTTAGCCACTGTACGTCTTGAACAGAAGTTCATTCTGATCTGACTTAGTTCTTGCCAACACCACAGTTCGGAGGCTTTGAATTGGTCAGATGATACTCATTTTCAAAAACCATGTGGACCGAGAAATAGCTGAAATCATTTACAGTTATCTGTGTAGGGGCTGGAGAGATAGTACAGCAGGTAAGCCGCTTGCCTTGCACGTGACCGGCCCCAGCACCCCATTTAGTGTCCTCAGCACTGCCAAAGTAGTTTCTAAGTAAAGAGTCAGGAGTAACCCCAGGTGAGCCCCAAACAAAGAACAACATGAAAAAAATAACATGTATAAAAGTAATGTTTAAAATTGATAAATAATTGGTTTAATGAGAAGTTAATTTTAAAATAAAATGCCCCTTTTTGATTTATCAGCTGCA